ATCAGACGCTGCCACTGTCAAGCACTCCAGGACACTACTCTGCATAAAGGGTGCTATATAAATGCAAGTTGTGTTTTAAGCAAGATTAACAGTCTCTTAGCTGGTATGCTTATGAAATCACAGCTTTTTTGTTACTCAATGCGTTTCTTTGAAATGTTTTTTTCTTTCTTGACTATAAATGGGCTGGGATGATCCAGTCTTACAATAAGACTACCATGTCCACCAAATTGGCCCCCCGCTTAACTGCAGGGGGCCAATTTGATATAAGGTATTAAAACATCCAACATCTCAAAGCGCTTCACAAAAATAGTTACTTTGAGGTATAGTGACTGTTGTTTGGCAAGAAAATGTGGCAGCCTGATGCACTTCACCAACAACAAAGGAATCAGATTCAATAAATAATTAATTTTTTAATGTCTATCCTTCTGAAAAGGAAAACAAGACCTTGGCTTAATAGAAGACCCTTCGGCTCATTTGATCTCAACCTTCCAGATCACTCACCTTCCCATCACAACATCAGCTGTTTCTTAAATGAGTCCAGTATCCTAGTCTCAACACACACACACACAAACCCCATCCTGCTAACCTGTTCCAGTCATTCATTACATTCTGGATAAGGAAATACTTTCTGGTGTCTATCCTGAAATTATCCTTTGCATCTCTAAATTTATATCCTCTTGTTCTACTGTCTTGGTGCATCCTGATGTCAGTGTACTAGGCTGGCAGTTAGTAGCACTCTTGACTCTGAGTCAAAAGGTTGTGGGTTAAAGTCCCAAGAGACACTTTGAACTCCCGGTCGAGGCTGACACTCCAGTCCAGTGCTGAGTTTGCTGCATTGTCAAAGGTGCCGTCCTCCAGTTGAGACATTAAACTGAGTGCCTGTGTGCCAGTTCAAATGGATGTGAAAGTTTCTGTGGCACTATTCAAAAATAGAAGTTTAGGTTGTAGTGTTCCAACTCATTTTCAAGGCACAGATCTTTAAACCTGTCCATCCTTCGGATTCAGCCTTGGATCCAGGCCTCTGTGATCTGCCTTTGACCTCAATGAGTGGACATGTTCAGTGGTTATTCCTTACATTTGATATAGTGCCTTTCATGTTGGAAGGACGTTGAAAGCTCCTTGCAGGATTTACTATAAAGAGGAGTGACTGCACATTTTGTAGGTGAACGCAGCAGATGATTTGAGCCTTGGGACATCCTCACGACGTGAAAGGTGCTATACAAATGTTATCTTCTTGTAATTGTTATTGTTGTTGTCCTACATCAACTGTGAAGTGAATGCTTGTAAGCATTACTGGTGATTCACGAACGTCTAGAGTTTCAGGTTGCTCAATATAATTATGAGTATTACAACAACAACAACAACAACTTGCATTGATATAATGCCCTCCACATAGTGTAGGGTCTCGGAGTGCTTAAAAATCATCCTCAACCATCGCTTTGCTCATGAAAGACTTTATAAATAATTTCTTTCTTTGTTTTTCTTTGAACCAAGCTCACGCTTTTAAAATTTGAATACCGCTATTAATCAGGGCAGCTTGCAGGTCTGAGCCTGCCAGAATATGTAGGTTATTAATTGGTGTTTACATAATAATATAAGTAGATTCATTAACACCACAGTCGTTGCAGCCCTATTTCCCTCATGTTCAGAGAAAGGCAAGGAAGTTTGCCTATTAAACACATGACTTCCCATTACTTTATAATTCAATGTTGACACCTGTTTCAGGAATACCTAGTGTCTGCAAGCTCCCAGTATTGACCTTCATTCTTAGATTTCAGTCCTGGGATTGCGATTGGAAAGAATGCAGAGAGAAACCCATAGAATAGTACTGGGAGTGAAAATGAGAGCATCTTCAAGAGTGTCATTTTGGGCAAGAAGCCCGAATATCTGTTTTGTAATAGGTAGCATTGGAAATAATTGCTTTACCTCTCAGTTCATGTCAGTGTCCATGTGAAATCTAGTTCTGCTCCTATACAAAGCAATATTTTTCTATTGGTTAGGCCTAGAGCTCCCAAAAGTTTGAACGTTGCTCAGTAGAGAAAAATCGAGATTTATAAATATTAAAGGTTTTTGGGGCTGTAATATGGGCTTCAAATCAGACTGTCCATCAAAAGAAACTGATGAAATCTTGTAGTCTTGGCCCGTCTCCCAGATACACATTAGCCAGAGAAAAAAAACAACTTTAGAAGCAAGTTTTTTTGTGTTTTAAGTGGCTTCGATCATAAAGATTTTTGAAGTGCTGCTCAGCTCATTATTCCTAAATCCGATTGGCAACCATCGGAATGGAAACAAAGTTCATTAACCCTAAGACGATTTGGATCCTGGTCAGATTTCTGGTCAGAGATTTATGTTGTCGTATCATAGTAACAATAAAAAAAAATCAGATCAGCCTGAAATATTTGACGCTGGATTTGTTTAATTAGCTGCCATAACAGAAAGAGGAAGAAAACGTGTTTCATGCAGTTAAGCAGGGGGCCAATTTGGTAGACATGATAATGTCAGTCAATAGCATTGCTTAATAGCTATGGGGAATATTCAGGTTTAAAGAGAAAATCAACAAAACGAAATTTGCTGAAAGTTGTGCAAAATAATAACATAATTGAAAAATTTGCTTCTGTCGTACATGTTTAAAAATTTTCAGAAACCTCATATCTACAGAATGTGTTATCTCAGTTTTTCCCCACTTCTTGCAATGAAACATTTACAGGTAACAACAAGGTAAAAATTCTGTTCAGCATTGAGTGTATCGTCTTCGGCAATGTCAGCAACTGAATGGGATTTTCCATCGACATTGCCAACGGCCAAAGGCGCAAAATGCTGAACCAAATTTTCTCCCTCTCTGTCCTTAATAAGGCACATACTTTCCAACTTACCATCCTTCTGATCTAGACTTGGATCTGGGATGCTTGTGACCTGTCTTTGGCCTCTCTGCTAACCCTCAACAAATCAAGGTGCTTAATCTTTACATTTGGTATTGCGCCTTTCATGTCACGAGGCCATCTCAAAGCGCTTCAGATGATATACAGAAACATTTAGTGACTAAGTAATTTGGAGGTGAAATCTTTCCTCAAAGAAATTGTATCAGTAGCAAAGCGTACCAGGAAACTAAGGATCGTGAAAGCAAAAGTGATGAGGCAGAATCCACATTGAGGAAGGTCTTGGATAATTGTAAATGTCTATAAACCATGTGCATGCAGGGGCCAAGGAAAAAGTTGCTCATTGCTGAATGTGATGCACATGAATGCGCCAAAAATGGTTTTACTGACAATGAACACAAGTTAAAGAATTCTATGCATCCTTCAGATGAGGTGTTAAACCAAGGCCCTATCTGCCTGACCAGGTGGGCATTAAAGAACCTATGGCGCTACTCGAAAAGTGAAGGGAGTTGCTCCCCGTGTCCTACCTAACAATCCCCCAGATAAAATTAGTCATTCATTTCATGGCTGATGGTTAAACATTGCCCTGAGCAAATTAACTGCCACATTCACCCACAAAACAGTCACTCCACTTTACAGTATATCCTGTGAAGTACTTTGGGACATCGCCCCAAAGGTTCTACATGACATGTAAGTATTGTTATCATTATGCTAGAGCACCAAGCGAGAGGAGCTAACTAGGATGGCCTCTTTATAGTCAACAACCAGAGGAGAGGGTTTGGTTAACTCTTCCACATGAGCTGTCAGAGAAAGCTGGAGTTACTTTTGAAGTATAAATACTTGTCGAGTATTTTTACTAAGTGCCTTCCCGCAGCGTTTGTCTTTTTGACACTCGTGAAATGGACACTGTTGTGTGCTTGGAAAATAATATTAATTTACCCTAATTTGACTTGGAATGCACATTTGGTTTTCAAACAGGATTAAGAAACACAAATCGCTATTTGTGTAATACACACAAAGTGTATCCGCTGGATACCTGAAATAAATCTGTTTCACACACAGTACAACACTTCTGTTGGTTAGAAAGTTGTAGGTTCAGGTTTCACATCGGGAATTCAGCGTGTAGTTTACGCTGACCCTCCAGTGCAGGGTTGGGTGTACAACATTGACAGGGGGGGCTTCAAACCAAAGTCCACCGTCTGCTCAGGTGGACATTAAAGATCTCATGAGACCATTTAAAAGACGAATTGAAAAACTTTTGTAATTATTATCATAAAAATCATTGCTATTATTATTAGTTTCTCCAGGGTGCTCCAGATAAATTGGTAATTTATTTAACGACTGTGTGTGGGCTGGACATAAAATGACTGTCACGTTTGCTTGCAAATACAGCCTTTAATTACAAACGACAACGATTACCTGTGAAGCTATTATATTAGCAAGATGATTGGAACAGCAACAGACTACAGTACTGAGAGCATTGTATGTGTCACTGATAGAAGAATATTTATGTTTTGGTCATTGAGTTAATGTGGTGCATTTGTACTCGATTCTGTATCTATATACTGTATGTATGTAAATACTGGAGTCCTGTAGCTCAGTGGTTAGAGCACTCATCTTGCAAGCGAGACACCTGGGTTCAATTCCAGGCAGTTTGAAACCTTGGGCAAGTTTCCTTACTCCACACGCCTAATAATAATCCCTCCAAAACAAAACAATAATAAATTGGTCATTTTTAATCCACGACTGTTTGTGGGACATTGCTGTGCGCAATTGGCTGCTGCGCTTCGCCTACAAATATACAGTCAATTCACTTTACAGCATATTCTGTGAAGTTCTTTGAGATGTTGAGAAGACATGAAAAGTGCTATATCAAATGCAAGGATTATTATTATTATTATAGATTGGGTTCTATTCAATTCTTCAGCCCACCAGGGCTATTGTGTCACATGCTGTAAGCAGCATAGGGCAAGGTTGTAAAATATAAAATGTGGTGACTCAGACTCCATCAGACTGCGTCAGCTCCCCAGATATAATAGGAGTTGCTAACATGTCCGTCTAGCTTAAAGCAGGTCTGAACCCCTTTGGATATCAAGTTAAAATGGATTGATAGATAACATCCGATAAAGATAAAGCAAATTTTATTGAAACAGATGTCAAGCAGAATATCACCCAGAAAAGCCCTGACTTGTATCTTGTGTCTATAAACTGCATTAAAATCATTTTAATTGTGCAATCTACCTCAATAGGCTTCACACTGTATTCGTTTGTACATGAGTGAAATATATCTGTTTCACAACAATGCATCCACATACCATCAGCCATATCAACTACATTGCTGAACCTGGTAACAAAGAGGAACGAACAACAGGCATTTGGAAGTGCAAGTACTTCACAAGTTAAAAACACAGAATACAAAAAAGGAGAAACAGTATATTAAATACACAGGTAAGTAAATATGTATATGCATTTGATTGATTTTTTGATTAAATAGATTTGTTGAAAGATCAGTCAATAAAGTGCTTGTCAGAGAATAGGATACAGCATAATGCAAATGCTAGCTCATCTTCATTAAATCCCTGGTATCCCTTACAGATATGGAAACTCCTCCAGCTCGCTATTCCTGCTATCTTTCCTGAAACCCTGCTCCCATGTTAATTCTATTCACTTCCCTCATCCAGATTTAACCATGGGATTCCTACCGGATTATAAACCCCATCTGCCACCAGTGCCTCTAGTTTCACTATCCAAAGGCTTCAAGTATTTATACAATTGTATTCTTTGCACCTTAACCGTTCTGTCTGGTTGCCTAGTCCTTCTATGGAACGTTACCCTGCACGAGGGCTGCTATATACATGCAAGTTGTTGTTGTTGCTATCTGAGATGTTTCTGCTATTCTTGGTTCCTGCTATTTGCAGCGCTATACAATGTAAATTTGGATTTGTATTGATTTAGATAGATCCCCTCTTGTTTGGTTTGTTCCCATTTCCTAAAAACATCAGCCTTCCCCATCTCCTGAGCACCAACAAACCTGAACCTTATGCCTGTCCTCCCCATTCAAATCTAGTTTAAATTAAGCCCAATCGATGGCTTCATGTTTGACAAAAGTAACTTAGGTCCTAATCTACTTAAGTGTAAACTATCTTTCCTTATAATAACTTTATAAATAAAAATGTTCCCCAGTTATCAAGCCAGCAAGCTTACAGACAATCAAATCTGCAACCTTTGAAGCTACTTATTTATTTCAGCATGACATTTTGTCCAAGTGCAAATGTTAAATACCTGTACTTGAAAGATTTAAAAGTAAAGAAAATCGCTGGACCTTTAAACCCGGTTGGATAAATTCTGAGGCTCTAGAGCTTTTTTTAGCTGTTTCTTTATGAAACAAGTGACTAACTTCTGAGGTCTTATCTGATAGTCGTTCAGCACTTGGTGGGAGCTGGTGATCTGATCTCCCTTCAGTCTGTCCAGGAGGCACACACACACCACTGCACCTACATAGAAACAATAACGTGATAGATTTACTGAAAAATGTGATAGCATAGGTGAGAAACACAACAGCAAACAAATCCTTCATCCAAGCTGAAGCCCCATATTGAGCCCTCCACAATACAAAACCTGGTCCTGAATAGACACACTAGAATTACAATGGGAGTCACTTTAGCCAAAAGACCAGCTCAGCAATCTATGATGCCTGTTCAGCGCCCCAGGGCTACAACGATAGATGCACAATAGCTACCCAATGTGGTATCTTGCCCGTTGCGGTGATGTTGCTCAAACCATTAAGTAACGTAAGTGGAGCAAATTCCAGAATAACACCAGCCTCAGATTTTTAATAGATTTTTTTTATTGCTGAGTGAGGTTAGGCCTGCTCACCGCCATTAACCGAATCGGACCGAAACGTTCCACTTTGGGAATGAGTGCTGTTCCTGCAGGCAAACCCCAAACTCTTCTAGGTCCCAAATTATAATAATAATAAATTGGTCACTTCGATCCACGCCTATTTGTGGGACACTGCTGTGTGCAATTGGCTGCTGCACTTCACCCACAAATATACAGTCAATTTACTTTACAGTATATTCTGTGAAGCGTTTTGATAGATCTCGAAGACGTGATAAGACTTGATATCAAATGCAGGGATTATTATTACTATCAAAGGACAATGCAGACCTGAGCCATGTTGTCACGACCACCCGAGCAAGTCAGGGGTCCGGATCACTTCACTTGTACTTTATGGATTCTGTGAACGTAAAGCAGCACAGGATGGCAAGGAACAAGAGGCCTTGACTGCCTTCATCTCAGGGTAAAGGTGCCTTCACCTTGCTCCCTCCCTCCACCTTGTCCCCTCCTTGCCCACCTTCAAATCGGACCTGAAGATTTTCCTGTTTGACCACTCCTAAGGTCACCTATTCTCTTTGTCCAGCTGTGTGTCAAGCTCCGCCACTGTTAAGCGCTCTGAGATGCTACCCCTAGTGAAAGGCACGATATAAATGCAAGTTGTTGTTGTTCACCTCTCAGTATCAAGGTACCTTCACTTCTCAGGCTAAAGGAAAGATAGGTAAGCACACCACAAAATGCAAAGACTATAATAATAAAAATAATCCTTGCAATTGATACACCTCCTTATCACACTGTTGAGACGTCTCAAAGCGCTTCACAGGATATATTGTCAAGTGGATTGACTGTACATTTTGTGGGCAAAACGCGGCAGCCAATTGCGCACAGCAGTGTCTAAATTATTATTATTGCTAAATCATTATTTCTGATTATCAAACATTATTAAGTTAAAAATTATTTTGAAAATTACTACTATTATTTTAGAAATATTAATGTTACTTGCTAAAAAAAAGCTGCAAAGATTATTCCAACACCTCATATGCATTAGCTATTTGTTTTGTCTCTGTGCGAGGATTAATTGGCTAGAAACACCAATACTGAAATTCAGGTCCTATGGCACAGTCGCCCTAATTTAAATTACAAATCTGTCTGCATTCAGTAAGCCAGCTGACAGATGCAACGCAGTTGCAGCAGCAGCCTGTGGGTCTAGTTATTAACTCTTCGCTACATAGTGGTTCCATCTCACACGACTGATTTAGTGCAGTTAGGATTCTGCATGTGTGAAGAAACAATTTGTTTGCATGTTAAGTGCTGTGACTTTCACATCAATTGTTGCAAGCAGTGAAGCTACCCTGTTGATATTCTCAATCCATTTAAGACCCATTTATTTGGCTTACCTCTGCCAAATAAGAACAATAGTCTAACCCTTTAGGCTTTGGTTAAGACGCACCTATTTCTCTTTTTAATTTATACTTTCAATACTCCACATGATGGTGATAATGCTCACCACTAACTGGTTTAGATTACACAATAAATATCTTCATTACAAATCTTTATTTTCATCAATGTCAGGGAATGAGTTATCAAAATTACATTTTGCTTGTAACTTGCAGAACACTATACAATTACATATTATATAGCTACACGAACCTCCACTTCTCCTATTCCCTTCTAATTTATTCCTATATTCCCTTCATTGCTTTCACCTTCATGTATGCCCAAAGTTTCCTGTCAAGTATATTGGCGTATTTTGTTTCAAAAAGGGGTATTTAGTTTCAAGTCTCTTGTTAAGTTCAAGGCACAAAACGTTCACATTTTTCATGGCAACTGTCTTTCAGAATGGATTTGCTGCAGGTTGCACGATGCATTCTCTTTACCGGAAGAAATAATTCCTGCCTGAAATTGCCTTGTTTTAGAAACCAATGTTAAGATGAAGGAAGGAAAGTGCTTTGCGCTGAATTGTTCCTAAATGCAGCCTTCATTTTGAAGTTAGTTTTCCGTAAGAACGGTTCAAAAAAAATGGCTTCAAACAAATTAGACAATTTGCCAAATTCTGCTCCCAAATGCTAAGAAAAGAGAGTAAATCCAGACACAGATGGAGTCTTTCCTCCATAGTGTGTTCTCGTTCATGATATTAGTGGAAGGTGGTGAGTAAGTGAGTGATCATGTACTGTCAGGCCCTGGATGCCAGCTGTGAAGCACATCAGGATGGTGATCCCCTGATCTAAACCCAGTGATCACTATCAGATGTGTCAGTTCACTAAAGCCAGCTGCAGCGTACCCTTGAGTAAAGCAGGACAGGCGTTGTAAACTGCCCAACAAGGATGGTATTCTGTTCATACTGAACAGACCCAGATGTGGTGCAACTCTCCTATTTCAGTTCAGGAATTAAATTCCTGACTTTGTGCTTGATATTACCTTTTCAAAGTCAGGCAATTTAATCCAAACTTTGGGGAATACGTATGCCTTAATGAGGAAGTAAATTACATGTTCATCAATTATAAATGCCGCAGGCAAGTTTGAGATACAAATGTCAGGTGGTGTCTGGCTACTTTATTTCACGATTCCCACCCCCCATTCCTGCCCCCCACCGTCCATTGTGAAACACCTGTTGTATATGCTGTAAACTAAAGTGCTGCTGAAACCCATCTGGAATGAGAGCAATCAAATCCATCTTCTAAGAACTATCAGTACTCAAAGGACTTCCATGAGGAGTCTTGAACATGCAGCCAATTACCTTTCATACCACTTCGAATGCACATGGCTGCAAAAACAGAGGACTCCATCTCAATGTTGCGAACACCTGCTGCGTGGGCAGACTGTAAGTATTCCATCTTCTCCTCCTCTGTGTAAGTGCAGAAAGCACCATCCAGGCGAGCCTGGCCTGTAGGCATTAAACAACCTTGTTACTCCAGCAAAACAAAATCTGCACCAGAATATCTTTCATCAAGATTTGAAGAATGTAATAGACCTCGCTACATTTAAGAAAAGGGAAAGCCAGATGAAAAGACAGCCAAATGGATTGAAGTCTGGGGAAACACTGTTTCAGTGAGCGAGAAGTAAAAGTATGGAACAGGCTCCCTAGGGAGATGGTGGAAGCAGAAAGTACTGATTTTTTAAAAATCAAATGAAATAGATTTCCTTTAGGAAATAATATCTTGGGATGCAGTATGTATTTTGGGACATAACATGTGCATGCGACTGCCAGGGTGGTGGAAGGTGAACTGGATGGACCTTGTTCTTCTTTTATCTAGCAATTCTTGTGTTCTTATGTACTTAAGGTTTGAATCCCCAGTAAGTGTCACACTAGCAGGCCTCAGCAAGGAGAGCACACAAGGTACACACTTAATCTCAAGTTGGCTTGAGTTAGAAAGGTGAAAATCAACCACAGCTACCTATGTTGGTTGCTATTTGGAGAAGGCTACTGAAAGCTATGTGTTTGTAAATGGCAAGCATCAGGCTCTGCTACTATGCCCCCTGCTGCTGAATAGTCTGCAAACACCAACTGTCAAGTCTCACACATGAATAATAGTCGCTTGGCAAAGTGCTTGAGAGACCAGTGCCCATGGAATTGTAAACAGGTGGAAGGAAAAAGAAATCAGACACCGAGAGGAGAGGAGGAGAGGAGAAAGATGAAGCAGAAAATCAGCGGAATAAAGTAAAAGATGCAGGAAAAGAAAAACAAAATGGCATTTAAATTTATAATAATAATTATCCTCACGTTTAATATAGCGTCTTATCATGTCTTTGAGATGTCTCAACGCAATTCACAGAATATCCTACAAAGTGAATTGACTGTATATTTTGTGAGCGAAACGCGGCAGCCAATTGCGCACAGCAGTGTCCCACAAAGTCGTGGATTTTGTGACCAAATTATTATTATTTAACTTGACTCTACCAGTTTGAGAAGCACTTATAAATATATAATAAATTAAATGGATCTTTTCCGATGCTGTGCACCATACACACGCTTATTCCTGCAGGTGAGATATTAACTCATTCGGCTACAAATATACAGTCACTACACTTAGCAGTAAGATCCTGTGAAGTGCTTTGAGGTTTCTCAACAGTGTAATAAGGCTCTATACCAATGCAAGGATTACTATTATTATTATTACTACTATTATATTGACTCAGATTGAATCCATGAGTTTAGTTGATAATGTGTAGAAGAGACACCTACAGATCCAAACTGGCATGTTTAAATGATGGGTTCTGTGCGTGTCTGGGGTATAAATGACAATAAACAGCTATCTGCTGAGTGAAACACCAAGGTTAAAGTTCATGGTATTCAATCAAAGTGTGAAATTGTTCTCAAGGATTAAATTCTGTTGGATGCTGTTGTAAATTTATAAGGGAAAATGGCTACTGACATCTTAAATTATCTCCTTCTTTTCAAAATGTGAGGCCATCGTTAAACATCTTCAATGAGATGTATTTCCACTGTGAAATGGTGATAAGATTTCGTTCAGAGACAAGATCTGGAAACGCTCTTCACATACTCAGCCAGACAAACACTGTTTCTCTGGTGACAGAGTGCTATCTTTTAATTCAACCTTCTCCAATTATTCAATAGTTTCCCACTTTTCAGTGGATGAAACTTTGCAGGGTTCCACAAATCAATATTCACAAAGCTTGCAACTGATAGACTCTCCATAACGCCCCTTTTCCTCCATTTATCACTGCAGAGCCCTATGCAAGAAGTAGACAATCATTCTGTTGAAAGGTAAAATCTCAGATGATGGGTCTGTGTATGTCAAGACCTGACTGGAAGAGTGACAGCAGGCAGCTTGCACTCCCCCTTGTTTGCTCTGCTTTCTACAGTGATGTGTTCTACAAACACCATCTGAATGATCTGAACCTCACAACTGCCTACGGAAAAGCAGAATTCTTCATCCACACTTTGTTTCATCCAAGTTATCAAAAATACCAATGATTCCAATCTCTGGAATTGCTGCACGTAACATTATTACATAGAATTACATAAATGATAAGGCATGGAAACAGGTCAATCAGCCAACTAGTCCGTATCAGTGTTTATACTCTACACAAGCCCCCACCCCTCCTATTCCCCTCTGCTCTACCCCTTTATTCCCTTCTACCTCGTGAACACATTAAATACGTTGATGCTTTTTGCTTGAATCGCAGCTTCCGGCAGAGAAGCTTCCACATTCTCACTGTCTTCATTTATATCTGCTAGTGGCTGTCTTATATTTAGGCTCCCTTGTTTTGGACTGATCAACAAATGGAAACAATTTACCCATGTACGGCTACACTCTCTATTCAAATATCTACTCATTGCCATGCTTCACCCCTAACACAATTTCATAATTCTTAATCTGAGCTGTGGGAATGAGACCTGGGTTATCAGATAGAGGTGTACAGGAACAGCACCCAAGAAGGACTCATCTTAATTTGAACCTTATCCATTTCCAAAATCATTCCGCTGCATGCAAAAAAAAAGGTCAAAGGACTGCTCACCGATCACGTTTCTCACCTTCATAAAAATCTGATGTGCACATTGTGTCAGCGATCAGAGTGGGGAATTCATTGATTTCTTTGCTGCATTTCAGCAGCTCTTGACCCAGACATGTGTGCAGTTGTGTGCTGTGAATCATAGTTTTCCCCAATACATTCATCTCAAAGTATGGCTTGAAGGAAGCATCTAATGAGGTCCTGGTGATCACAACTGAACCTGGCTCCACCCCTGAAAAATAGAAAAGAGCCAATAAAGTAAAGCCCATTTATAAGTAACACTACTGTTATAACACATCTCAAAATGATAGAGTTTGAAGAAAAAATAGGAAACTTATGAATTGAAAATACACAATATTACATTTCTAAGATTCAAATCAACCCTCGACTTTTCTATAAAATACACACTTTACAGTGTGAAGCACTTTTGAGACATCTCGATGATGTGATAAGGCACTGTAACATATGCAAGGATTATTATTTTTCTTACACAAAATATATATTTATTAATAAATTATTATTAATTATTGATTTGATTTGGCTTCCTAGCTATTGAAATTGTGATGCAAGGAGCAGTGGATGTACCCTTTCCTGTTTGAAGCTTACTCCTCAAATGTCCTGTGGCTTTTTCCTGAGATGACCCTTTGAGGGTTCTTGCGCTTATGTTTCTTTCCCCCCTTCCCCACTCCAACCCCTCACCCCCATTTGTTTCTGTCCCTCTTCTCGAGTCCTCCTCCTCCACTGTGATTTATGCAACCCCAAAGAACATCAATCACTTAGGACCTAAAACAACACAACAAGATTCCATTTATAGAGCGCCTTTCACGTCGGGAGGACGTCCCAAGGCGCTACAGGAATCATCTGGAAAGACATCCACATAGAAATTATTAATTTACAAACTGAACAGATCAGCAAAAAAAAGGATTAGATTTATACTTTGAACTTCTATGATGAAAATTACAAGCTGTGATGGGGGATAAACCCTATCATTGCTTTTTATTGGTTATTGGTGTTCAACCTACACGCAAAGTGTGGAGTCCTGTAGCTCAATGGTTAGAGCACTCGCTTTGCAAGCGAGAGACCTGAGTTCAATTCCAGGCAGGTCAGGGCGAAACCTTGGGCAAGTTTCCTTACTCCACACAGAGCCTAATAATAATCCCTCCAAAACCAAAAACAATTATAAATTGGTCATTTTCAATCTACGACTGTTTGTGGGACATTGCTGTGCGCAATTGGCTGCCGCGTTCGTCCACAAATATACAGTCAATTCACTTTACATTGTGTTCTGTGAAACGCTTTGGGACGTCCTCCCGACGTGAAAAGCGCTATATCAAATGCAAGGATTATTATTATTATTATTAAAGGAGTGTATTGTTTGTTTTTCCTGTGTGTGAGTCGGTAAAAGGTTGCCACAATCAAGGGTGCTAACAAGGGTGGACTCCGATCAGGCTTGTTTGGACTACCAAACCTAAGTGATATTTGGGCACACGCTGATAGTCTGGCGAATCGACGTAACAAATCCTAGTAAGAGATCATTAATAAAATACTAATTTGGTCACTCAATCAACTTTTTGTGGGACACTGCTGTGCACAATTGGCTGCCGCGTTTCCTCCTCAAAACACACAGTCAATTCATTTTTCAGCGTTTCCTGTGAAGCGCTTTGAGATGTCTTGAAGACGTGATAAGGGGTTATATCAAGTGCAAATTATTACAAATATTATTAGTGTCCCAGGGTTTCAAAGGTAAAGTAATGGAGCTAGCACACTCCATTCCCTGGGCGGGCCACTTATGTCGAGATAAGATTAAACATAGAATTATTTTTCACTTTTATTGGCCGGATTTACATGTAGACATAAAGAAAATCTGTGCAGCTTGTCCCGATTGCCATCTGACCAGCCCAGCGAGTCACAAGTCGGACCCATTAAGGCCCTTACCGATCATTGATACCCCTTCCGAGCGAATTGGGGTTGTCCTTGTAGGACCCATGGAAATGGCAAGAATAGAATGATCTGTCATCTGTGTTACTCCATTCAGACAGATACAAATTCAATTTGGAATTTACACAGGACAGGGCTGTTGGAATTTCATTGCAACACCAAAGCAGAATGATCTGATCACTGAAGACAGCAAAAGGGTGTGCTTCAATATCAATTTCTTGTCACTGATATCAGGATGCACTTTGATGTTCTGAGAGTGACACGGAGTCAGAAAAATGTGAGTGTACAATATTTGAACTAACGGGATCTTGACATTGTTTCCGCTAGCACCGACCTCTACGTAGGTTAGGCTATTGCAGAGATCTGATTTAAATATCCTGCTGGTTGTACCAATAATACTAAGGTCAGTATTCACAGAAAGATTAACATTTTCTCTCTCCATCTTGATGCGTTTGGACATATTGTGATTTTTAAAAAAAAAAATGACAATGCAATCTGAGAAGCAAAAGGAATAATCCTGAAATATCATGTTTCCCAATGTGTTGCCATTTACAACAACAACTTGCACTTACGTAGCCCTCTCCATGCAGGGTAGCGTCTCAGAGCGCTTAACAGTGGTGGAACCTGATTCCGAGCCGGGGGGTTTGGTGGCCGTAAGCACGGTCGAAGAGGAAGGTTTTCAGGCGGGACTTGAAAGAGGAGAGAGGGGGGCAAGGTGGAGGGATTGAGGGAGAGTGTTCCAGAGTTTCACGATCTACGATGGTGGGGCTTAGGGTGCGAAGGACGAGCAGGAGGCCGGTGCCAGTCGATCAGAGATGCCGGGTGGTGGATTGGGGAGTAAGGAGGTCGGAGAGGTGGGGACGTGCCAAAGAGCAAAGGGATTTGAACATGAGAGTGAGTATCTTGAAGTCGATCTGTTCGGTGATGGGGAGCCAGTGGAGCCTGTCCAGAACTGGTGAGATGTGGGTACGGAGTGGGATGGTAGTGTGAGAGATTAGAGTGATCGAGGGTGGGTTGTTTGAGGAAGGGATTGATAACAGCGGTTTTCAGGGAGAGGAGAGAAACTGGCTGACCAGGTCTGCCAGCTTGGAGGAGAAGAAGGGGAGTTGAGGGACCAGCAGCTGGGTGCGGAGGGGGTTTTTAATTTTTGAGGCAAAGAAGCGTAGGATCTCTTCACACTTCACATGTGAGGATAGAGAGGGCTTGAGGGGGTGCACGGAGGATGTGATGAAAGGTGGAAAACAGGATCTTTGGATTGTTGTTTGCCTCCAGGATGACTTTGGAGTAAAAGTCAGTTTTGGCCTGTGAAAGGGAGAGGCGGTAGGTGTGGAGGTGCTCAAGCCACAGCTGGCGGTGAATCGTGAGGCCAGATTTCTGCCATCTGCCCAGGGGCATCCTGGTTTCTGTTTTGAGTGAGCAGAGATGACTGTTGGACCAGGGGCAGCAGGTGGGTTTGGACACAACCTTGGATTTCAGGGAATTGAAGGTTGTGGAGAGACGGTCATTCAGCAGCTTAATAGCTGCATCAGGATCACTGTGGGTAGAGGGCCAGAGGGAGAGGAGGTCCGAGGAAGAGAGGGCATTTATGAGGGATCCAGGGGGAAGCTTTTTATAGGGGAGGAAAAAAATGTGGAGGGCTTGGAAGAAGGGAGGCGATGCGGAAGGCGAGGGAGATGAGGAAGTGGTCTGAGATGGCCTTGTCTGTGATGGACACATCGGAAATGTCAAGGCCACGTGTGATGACGAGGTCGAGGGAGTGGCCGCAGTTGTGGGTCGGCGAGTCAATGTGGAGGGTGAGGTTTAGCGAGGAGAGGAGGGCAGTGAAATCCGAGGAGGTGGTGCAAGGGGAGTTTAGGTGGATGTTGAAATCACCCATTATGAGCAGGTGTTCAGGGCAGAGGGACAGGGATGAGTGGAGAGAGGCGATATCAGTGAGGAAAGAGCCAGGAGGTTTGGGGGTGCGGTAAACTAGGACGATTCTGAGTGAGAGAGAGGAGGGATGGTAGAGGGTGAGGTGTTCAAAGGAGGAGAAACAGCTAGAGGTGGATAGACCAAGGGAAGCTTGGGAAATGAGGGCCACCCCGCTGCCACGTTGGTTTACATTGCCACCTGTGATGTTTTGTGAATAACCTGTGTCCTGACGGCTTATCTGCACTGTCAGTGCACACTAAGCAAGTATCTGTTCATCTCATCAAAATGTAAACCTGCACAAACCAATTCCGCCGATGTGATTCTGCAACTACTCCCAAAAGGAGTCCTGTAACATATTTGTTAGAGCGCTCGACTCGCAAGCAAGAGGACCCGGATTCGATTCCTGGGCAGGGCAAAACCTTAGGCAAATTTCCATATTCATGCCTCTGTTTACCGAGCAGTAAGTAGGAAACTGGTTGTTAGTTGATTGGCATATGCTTTCTGGGGGTAATAATCCCTCCAAAAAAAAGATAAAGAATAACAGTAATTTGGTCACTCAATCCACAACTGTTTGTAGGACACTGCTGTACACTATTGGCTGCCGCGTTTCACCCACAAAATATACTGTCAATTCACTTTACAAGCGCTTTGAGACGTCTCAAAGACGTGAAAAGGCGCTCTATCAAATGCAAGAATTATTACTATTATTATAAATAACCCTGATTTTAAGAGCATCATCCTCACAGTCTCATTTCTTAATTGCTTTTTGTAAAACTGGTTGTTCGAACTATAGGTTCTCAGCCCACACGTGCAGCATGATTACAGATCCCCGCCATTTACACATCTCACAAACAGCAAGTGAATCACTGCGGCTAGAAAATGAAAGTTCAAGGTTCGAATATATGAGTTGCGTTGTTCAAAGCGCTTTGAGACGTCAAGAAGACGTGAAAAGCGTTATATCAAATGCAGGATTATTAATATTATTATTATTATTCATTCTGCTGCCATGAGGAGTTCACAGCTACTAAATAATTCCAGTAACATTCACATGGTTAGCTTGTCATCAGTGCTGTAGAATCCATCCCATAATGTAATCAGAGCAAGTCCCTACAGTCTCACTGGGTTCTGTGATATAAAAGGGTCATTGGTGAAAATGCCTCATATTCCCGGCTGACAAATATTGGCTTAAAATACGACAGCAGGTGGAATTTTCCAAAAAAAGTTTGAAATTGAGTTTTAATTTGTAAGGCAATTTTCCCAATTCCTTTTTTCCCCACAAAATTCCACTTAATCTTAAAGGTTTAAAACAGCGGTCTAGAACCTAAAGCTATGAGAAACGTTTGGCCTCAGTGGCATGAAATTCCACCTCCTCTAACCTGCGGGTCTATTTTGTCTTAAAATCTGAAAACCAGCACAATTATGGAAAAATCTTAAACCCAACCTTATTTTCAAAACTCGTTTGTTTTAAGTACTGCAGAAAACCTACTTCCAGATGGGCTTTAAGAACTTTCCACAGTCTAACAGAATCGTAAAATGTTAATACATAACCCAGGATAAGGCTAGAGTGAATTTCAAGCCTCTGATCATACTTTCGCTGGTCCCGATATGATTTCTTGTGTTTAGCAAGATAAAGATTGAGACACGTAGCCACTTTGGCCACCCAATGTCAGCACTCAAGCATTCAGTTACAGCACAGCCACATGTGGCCCCATTGAGGCTCTTCCTATAAAGAGACAACAGCCACTTGACTGCCTGTGCGATTCTACATCAGCAATTGGAAGGCTGATGATAGCGTGCAGGACTTGCTTAGGACATCCCACAAAGTGATCTGCTTCTCACTGTTGGGCTAATACTGTACCTATTCCACCTGAGGTTCCAATGCGAATGGCAGTGACATCAAAGCACTTGGCATGATACAGCAGCTTGATGAGTTCATGTAACATGATTGAGATTGATGGGATCCCCATCCCGTGCTGAAATGAAATAGAAATTCCCGATGTTAGTTACACTGAGCTGTTACTTACACTGATAGCATAGATACTTTACACATTTCTTATACTGGGACGTTACTTACACTGATACATTACTTACACTGACAACATAGATACTTACACTGTGACGTTACTTACACTGTGACATTACTTACACCAGCCTGGTCGAACTGGCAGCCCACGGGCCGCATCCGGCCCGGCGGGTGATTTTATCTGACCCGAGACCATTTCCAACCTTCCAACTTCCGCTCCCTCCCTCCCTGGTGAACGTTCTCCCATGGCAGTGGCAGGAGCCAGGCTGTCAGGAAGCCAAGCGCGTCTCTTACCAACAGCGTCCTTAGCAACTACCAGCTCCTGCCACTGCATATAGTGAACCGCGCGGCTGATTAGGAGAGAGAGGGAATTAGAGAGAAGAAGAGACAGAGTATGTGTGTGAGAGAGAGGTAAGAAAGGGGGTGTGAGAAAGAGATTGTGTGTGAGAGAGGGGAGAGTGAGAGATTGAGAGAGGGAGAGAACAGAGAGTGGGAGATTGAGAGAGGGTGATTGAGAGAGAGTTTGAGGGGATACAGAGCATGTGTGTGGGAGAGAGGGAGAGTGAGAGAGAGTAATTGAGAGTGTGTGAGAGAGAGGAGAATGATTGCAGTAGGAAGGTCGAGTGTGAGAAGGAAGCTTGCTTCATGTCCCCCCACCCCATCTGCCCCAGCATCGCCATTTTGCCCATATTCTTTGGAGTTCCATTCCTGGAGTCACTCCTGCTCGCTCCCTCCCCTCTTTCATGGCACGTCAAGACCCAAGTCCACACTTTCAGTCATCTTTTCCCCGCCCCATCCCACCTCTCTAGGCTCCCACCTACAGCTCAGGTGCCCAGCCAAGTGTTAAGATGTCTTTCCAACATGAAAAGGTGCTGTGTAAGTGTTGTTATGTTTCTGGAAAGAAAAAACAAAATTTTGGTTATGCGGTTCGCGGACCTTTCTCAAATAGAGAATCCGGTTCTTGGCAGCCAAAAGGTTGGACCGTCCTGACTTACACTAATAGATACTTATACTGTGATGTTACTTACAATAGTATAGATACATACACTGAGCTGTTATTTACACTGATAGCATATACTGTACATACAATGTGACATTACTTACACTGATAGCAATGATACTTACACTGACTGCTAGGACAGGCCCCACTTTATACATATTGTAACGATCAGTTCCTTCACAAATGTTGGGAATGTCATCCGTTGCATTTCCCAGGCCCAACATTTCAGCCATGTGCTGACTGAAAGCTTTCATTCGCCAGCGACTGCCTCCTACACATACAAACTGACACAAAGATTGAATAGGCAGATCAGTGCTTCCCCGAATGCTACAAAACTCATTAATTGAAATGTTGATAAAAAAAATCAATTCAATGTCTTACTTTGATATCTCCAAACATAGCAACAAAATCATGAGTGCTGGTCCCAAGGTCAAAATGATATAAAATATCTTCTTTCTGTGATACTAAATGACGATTTGATATATGCAAGCCATCTCTGCAAAGCAAAGGATTCAGACTACTGTGAAATTTCAGGACAGTGAGCGTGGCTCTTACTTTAATTATTTCATAAGAATTAGTGCTATTTCAACAGACTGAAAGACCTAGATGTTGTATTCAAATGATGTGTGAACATCCGTTGGACAATTTTGTTTTGGGTAGCCAGATGTCTAACACATGCAGAAACATCATCATGCTTAAGGGTATCCAAACCAGATTAAGAGTTCCATGGATTCCATTTATACATGAAAATTCCCGAGTTTGGAAAAGAATGGAATGTGTCCCTGGAGGGACTTATCCTGCTTATCTAGTTCCAGAGACTATAAGGTGCAGGTTTGCAACAAACACGGTTTGGGAACCCCAGAGTCTGCATTTGGGTGCTGCTAGAGTCTAACCAGCTAAAACCGCATAGCTTGTCTTTGCAGGCGCTCCCTGGAAAGCTTCCTACTGACCATGCTACCCATTAGCACTTTGGCTTGCAGAGTTAACAGGAACTGAGTGGGAAGAATGGCTGTCCACATCCTACTGATGAGCCAGCTGGCTTGGCTGTCATCAGCAGTAACCTACAGTACTGTAGACCCATATGGCACAGGAAACGGATTACTGAAAGCACTACAGAGGATTGGCTCAATTCTGACATTCCGTTGGCAAGCACGTCACCTTGAAGCCAATTCTGCTCCAAGGAGACCTCATATACCTCCCTCCAAAGGAGGCTAGTCACTAGTTGGTCATTTGATATTCAACAGGTTTGAGCCCTCACTAGGTGGATGGATGACAGGTACCAACCAATAAATCCCTGTGAGTTTCCTGGTTAATTTAACAATTAACACTGCTAATGAATTTAGCAATCTTATGACAATCAACTGGTCTCCAACTGGAGTGGAAGCAGAACTCCCCCGTCCCACCCCCTCCCACCACCACCCTACAACATCATGACCATGAAACACATTCCATTGGACTCTCAATTAGTGTGATACCAGCTTTACAATAGTACACACTTAACCACATTCCAACTATATGCATGTTCCCCCTAACTGTATCAGTGCTCCAATGTGAAAGTGAAACTGGCTGCAATGTCAGGAAAATGTCTATTCCTATTTAGGTAGATCTGTGAAAAGAAGACATGGGTATTAATTCTGGTCAGGGTTATGCATAGAGTTTTAATTGGAAATCCCAATCATAGTCAACATTATCCTATATAAATGACAAATGTAAATTGTTGTTGTTGTTGTGTTAGGGAAGCTGTTTGAAATTGTTGCTGAAGGAAGCAAGGATAATGGGTAGCATGAAATGAACTTGCAATACTAAACTCCTCTAATATATTAAACTTAGATAGCTGTGATACAGACCTTTATCTTTTTTTCATCCAATATATCCTTCCTACCACATGATATATTACAAGTATTTAATTTGGAAAACAACATTGATTCCAATGTGCTGTTGAATTTAGAGATCCTTATAGCTATTCAATACACCCAACTAGTCTCCTATCAAGCTAACTGATCTCAATGTTCTGTGTATGTGCAATTCTACTGTCTCCAGTGTAATGCCACAACTCATTTTGCACTATAGCATTTTGACACAGAAATTGATTGAGAGGCAAATTCAATCTTCTTTTATGTGTCCAGATGCTTTTTTAAGGGTGAATTACTGTCTTTTCAATGTGTATAATCAAGACATCAGGCCATTTTGGTGCACACTGAAACCCCAGTCACAAAGATTGCCTTTAAGCTCAATTATTCCCATGTTGTGTTCTCTGTAGTGCAGTAAGTGACGGTGTACTGCTTGTTGACTTCAAGCTGTTTTGCTGACTTTACAATGGAGGATGACTATTGTTACCAATGACATACTCAGATGGCGTAAATATTGGCTTTCCCAGGATTGATAGATATGTTATTGCTCTTATTTATTACTCAGTCATGCAGCTTGTCCCAGATTTAGATTTAATAAGCAAATACTCTATCGCCAACGCAATGAGTTGAAAGAGGATTTCAGCATGCCATGATCACATGAATAATGTATTACCTCTACCAGTGGAAGCGAGCAAAGTGCTTATTTTCTACACTGCCAGAGCTTTCAGTTCCCTGCCTAAAGTAATTTCTCAATCTCCTGCTGGTTGCTCAAGAAACATCTTGCTGTATCAGATACTAACATCCACACACTGTAGTAACAAAGGACACCCACTGTCAATGCTGAGCTTCTGTTCTGAGTTCCTTGAACTCCTGGCTCAGTTAGCGATAGCATTCTCGCCTCTGGGTCAAAAGGTTGTTGGTTCAACGTCAACATTGGGTCTTTAAATTCATGGGTTAGGCTGACACTCCAATGCAGTGTTGAGCATTGTTTGAGGTGCCTTCCTTCAGATGAAACATTAAAACCAGGTCCCATCTGCCAGTTTAGACGAACGTAAAAGGTCCTTGGCATCATTTGAAAAGGAAAAGGGAATTTATCTCGATAATCTCCTTGGCCAACAAGTGCTTTGCAAAGTTTGGCATTATATGTGTTATATCAAATACAAGGATTATTATAATACTAATTCTTACATTTGATATAGCGTCAGGAGGATGTCCCAAAGCGCTTCACAGGATACGGTAAAGTGTAGTAATTTTGTGATTTGTGGACGATCACAGCAGCCAATTTGCACGCAGAAATATTTAGAAGACACCCATGAAGTGAGTAGCCAATTTTATTTGGGGATGGTTGGCCAGGATATGCAGACACTAAGATTAATCTTTCTTGTTGTTCTGAAGAAGCTCGTTTCTCTTTTCAATTAGCGCCATAAGATCCACCTGACCAGTCAGGTAGGACCTCAGTTTAATGTCTCATTCAAAGGATGACACCTACATCAATGCAGCAGACTCCCAGCACTGTATTGAAGTGTCAGCTTGAACTAAATGAGTTTCAAGTTCCAAGATAGGGCTTGAACACTCAACCTCCTGACTCAGAGGCAAGAGTGCTAGCAACTGAGCCAGGCTGACACACAATGATTATTGCCTGTGACGAATGCACACATCTAGGGTACAGGAAGGGCTGCTACTATTGGCCATATGATGGTTTTGCAAAGCAAAAGATACAGAAACATGTGTACTTGCTGCAGATTCCTTAACAGTGCCCAAAACATATTTACCTTACAAATTCTAGGCAGGTAATCAGTCAGAACAACGAGAAAGATTAATCTTAGCGTCTGCGATCTGTTGGTAGTTTTGTTTATGAAGGAGTGCAGTCTTCCTTGAAGAGGTGTTGCAACAGCAAACACATAGCATCTATTTCATCACTAGGTCACATCCACATGGTATGAATATGTATTTTTGTCGAGATTTACATCTTTTCGTAAAAACAAACAGGAAACGGTTTATCAAAGGAAACTCAATTGCGATATTTCTTAACACTGACCATTAAATAAGATGTTAATGATATTTATATTTAGGAATGCTAGGAAATTAGCATTGCTCATTTTATATGATTATCAAGTGAAGACAAGTTGTAGATGTATGGTCGGTACCTATGCAACCACACCCAAGATGAGGTACAGTTTTATGGCAATAGAGGAGGAAACTGAAAGCCAAATTAACATGCCGGGACTTGAACTCGTATAGTCTAAACTGACACCCCAATGCAGTGCTGGGAATCTATTGCATTGTTGGAGGTGCTGTCCTTTGGATGAGACATTAAACCACGGTCCTGTCTGTCTGTTCAGGTGGATGTTAAAGATCCCACGGGACTATTTAAAAAGAAAAGGAAGCTTCTTCCTGTGTCCTAGCCAATAATCTCCCAGGAATTCATTTCAGGAATGTTTGTGAGACACTGCTGTGAGCAAATTGGGCTGTTGAGTTCACCTACAAGTACACAGTAAATCCTGTGAAGCACTTTGGGACATCCTCCTGATGTGACTAAACCAAATGCAAGGATTATTATTTTAGTATCGGTGTGCCAATGGTCAATTTGTTGAAATGCCAGTGGAGGGTCAGCTAGGACAGACACTCGCCAGCTGGAAACCTTCTCATATAACAATAGTGTAAGTACCGTTCTGGAGCTGTTAGAAGTTTAAACCCACTCACTGTTGGAAATAGGGAAGGGGAACATGTGTCAGATATTTCACATCGTTCACAATGTTAAGAAAAATATTGGAATTGTATTTATCAAAAAACATCAATTATGTTAAATATTTCACATCAAACTACCTAATGTTCTCTTCATGGTCAGATTTCTATCCTGTCTGACTTATAATGTTTGATGTATCAATTTAAAATCAGGAGGACAGAAATAACATTGGGTGATTAATTCACAAGTTAGATATGTACCCTCATGTTTTAGTTCAGTGCCGTTAAATGCAAAGTACTGCAACTAGGAAATAAAACTAGGAGACACCAGTACTCTGCGAATGAGCTGGAACGTGTTATGGAGGAATCTGAAAGGGACTCACTATGTTAGCACAGTTGAAGCAGCGTTAAACAAGGCAAATGGGTTGCTGGACTATAATAATAATAAATAATTATTGCATTTGATAAAGCACCTTATCACACCTTCAAGACGTCTCAAAGCACTTCACAGAATATACTGTAAAGTGAATTGACTATATTTTGTAAGTGAAATATGGCAGCCAATTGCACACAGCAGTGTCCCACAAACATTTGTGGATTGAGTGACCAATTTCTTTTAAAAAGGAATTATTACCCCTGGAAAAGTGATCTGCCATTTGACTTACAACTGGGTTCCTACTTACCGTTAGGTAAATAGAGGCGTGTGGAAACTTGCATGATATTTCGCCTGCGAGTTCTCTAACCACTGAGCTACAGGACTCCAGTTAAGCTCATCCCTAAAAGTTATGTTCAAGCTGTTTAATGCTCTGGTTAGGCCACTTCTTAAGCACTGTGTATAATTCTGGTCACTGTAATATAAGAGAGTTGCTGAAACCCCAGTGGAAGTCCAGAGGAGAGCCACGATGATGGTCCCTGATGTTAGAGGGATGAACTATAAGCTAGGGTTTTTTAGCCTTGAAAATATCAAACTGGTGGGGGACCTGAAATAAGCACAAAAGATTATTAATGGGATTGCGAAAGTAAATCCAGAGTAATGCTTTCTGATGTACTGTTTGCAGGATTTATTGTGGGCAAATTATCTATTGTCGTTACCTGCAAGTTATACACCCACTATACATAAAAGCAATTTTCTGTGAAGCATTTTGTGACACTTCAACATTGTAAGTACTATTTGAAATACAAGCATTATTTTTACTGTAGCACACTTTGAACATTTTTCACAGTTCTATAAAGTTACTGTAAGATAAATTAACTTTAACTGATCACTTTTACCCAGAATAGGTATCAGTATCATCTTGTGATATACACTAAGTAGTTAATACAATAACTCTTTCATTCACATTAACATGCTCTTATCCATTGTTTTAGATCCCAATTCTTCGTAATTTTCATAAAACGTGCCTTTTTTTTCTCTTGGAAAGTTCACACAAAGAGTTGAGAAAATGTAAAATGCCCTTTCCCAGAAATACACAGAAGCAGAATTAATTGATTTAAGGTTAAAGGAAAGATAAGACACTTGCAAAGTCAGGGCGTTAGGGGAAGCGCAGGGAAAGGGATAAGAAATATACAAAGACTGCCGAGATGTAATAAATAGGGACGCAAATTTCATGGACTAAATGCCCCACTCGTTTTCCTATCATTGCTCTCTCCAATTTGTGTCTACATTACACTGTGAGGACCCCATCGCAAAGACCTCTCCCCTATAGTGCTGTGAATGCATTGAAATCACATTTCGCTCAATTTACATCAGATCATCTCAATAAGACTTAATCTTTACTGTTATAAACCTTTGTTATCAAATGTTACTGCATTATCGGTGGCAAAAATTGCCTACATAACATTCACTTCACATTAATTATTTTGTTATTATAATTATTTACATTATTTTTAGTTCATATTGGGTTTCAAGATGGTCTTTTATGGTGAAAGGTGTTATCTGCAGTTCGATATCTCTCTCATTAAGTAGCTTGTTTGAAGTAAGAACAAGGATTCTTTCAATTAAAATCTGGCCTCACCTTTATTGGGTAGTACTTTTGTACCACTGTAACTAAAGCCTCCTCCACTCCATTAAAAGTCCAAAACCTATGAAATTTACAAGTGTAGAGCTCAGTTGTAATGCACTTCTATATAACAAAAGTTTGCTTCTGGTGAAAATGGAGTTTGGACCTCATTCTGTGCACATACATAGCTAACCAGCACATACACAGTTAACCATTCTTTGGGCAGCTTATCCTCTAGAAAATAGCTAACTTCCAGGTCATCGGGTCACTGGAGTTGATCATTTTAATAATCCTTAAAAATAATCCTTATATTTGGTGTCATGGCTTTCTCCTCAGGAGGTCTTCTCAAAGCGCTTTACAGGATATACTGTGAAATGTAGTGACTGTTTACCTTGGCTTCCTGTCCACTAAAAGAAGCTGATTTCCAAATCCTTAGTCACAATCGGACCACAATGAATACAGAATCCAGCTATCTCGGGCCCAATATAACATGGATTGGGATTTTATGCACCTCAACTACCACCTTACAATGGGCTCTACCACATTTTATAAACACAACAGCAACAACAAGTAAATTACATTAATCTAGAACCTTTCACGTCGTAATGACGTCCCAAGGCACTGGACAGTTAAGGGTTTGCACGCAAGCTGGGGGCTAGAATACTGGGGCATTTGGGGGGGATATCAACTTGGTCAAGGGTGTCAGCCAAATGTGTATGCTGAGACTAGGAGTGGGATACATCAATTATGTAGAAATTAGACAAACTTATGAAAATAAACAATTTGGGCTCTTGGTTGCTTTGTTGCCTTCTTAAAGTTTGATAATACAGTATTATAATAATAATCCTTTAATTTGATATAGCACCTTATCACATCATTGAGATGTCTCAAAACCCTTCATAGCATTTTATTGTAAAGTGTAATGACTGTGTACGTGGGACTGCATACTCAGCGCTTTGAGAATCCTCCTGACGTGAAATGCAATTTGATGTTGTTGTTGTGTTTTTGTAGATAAACCAGACAGCTAATTTGCACATGGCAGTGTTTCACAAACAGCTATGAAGTCATTGAACAAATTTATCTGCTGGACTGTTGGCTAGGACCAAGGAGAAATTCACTTTTCTTTTCAAGTAGTTTGGGCTCTTTAACATCCACTTGAACACATCCCCATTACTGTATTGGAGTGTCAGTCTCGGCTGTGAGTTCAACGTGGGGCTTGAACTCACAACCTTCTGACTCCAAAGTGAAAGTGCTACCAACTGCGCCAAGCTGACACTTGATAGTATTGATAGTTATAAAAAATGATTAAACACAAAGATATTTGTATGCGACTACAACTACAATGAATATACACTTCGTATACACACCAATTACCTGTGAAATGCTTTTAGACATCTTGTAATTATAGGCACTGTGCAAATGCAAGCTCTATTTTTGTAATAAATGGGATCACATTTTTTAAAAAATAAATCTATTTTGAGGAAGCGTGACAGCCATTTGTAAGTTGTCGTAAAACTTGCCATCCGCCAGCACAGTAGTGAATGGTTGTTAACAGGACTGAACAAACAGGGGCTTTATTTCCTTTTAGGTTTTGTTTTGTTCTACATTCTTTTCTTTGGTTTGCAAAACTCACACTGGGATTGGGGCAGGCAATTATTCAGTCTACCATAGTCTGTCTCTAAGATGCCCTAGAGATTTGTACTGTGTTCTCCCATCTGGTAGTTTTGATAATTTGTCCCCCCAGTTCTTCCCGTGCATTGTCCCATCAGCTCAAGTCTGGCCTTCTATGTTTGATCTTTTCTCAGCTGGACCCTACTTTCGGTGGGGTACAAATCTTTAGCTTCACAAGACACACACTCTATGCATCAAAGTGGGGGTTTCCACGTGCTTAATACAAGCAGCAACCAACCTTAAGTTACCCAACTAATATGACAGCAGTTTAAGCTTCTCAATCTCTATAAGACATTGTCGGAGGTTCCATCCTTCGGATAAGATGTTAAAGCAAGGTCCCGTCTGCCTGTTCAGATGGATGTTAAAGACCCCATGGCTCTATTTGAAAAGAGAAGAGAGTTTCTCACGGTTTCCTGGCCAAAAATCCCCCAAATAAAATTGGTCACTCCCTCCAAGTCTGCTTGTCAGACATTACTGTACACAACTGGCTGCTTGCCATGTTTCTCTCACAAAATGCACTTTGCAGTAAATCCAACGAAGCACTTTGAGACCTCTCGACAATGTGGATAAGGCGCAATATCAAATGCAAGAATTATTATTATTAATAATAGATATGGCTTATCTGCATTTCAATTTGGCAGTTTGTTTGCTTTGTGCGCAACAAAGATTAGTTAGCTATAGAATAAAGCTAACAATGTTGTCGTGTTTTGCTTACCCTGCTGTTCAAACCGCCTATATAACACCCGCCACCCCCCCGCCTGCCCAGACGCCGAATTTCAGTGAATTAATCATCTTGGCTGGTGCTGGCAGGGGTTTGGCAGGTTCTGCAGATGAAAATGCATCACCTCAATGAGACAACCATTAGTAGCTATGGATGAGTGTGGGGGAGGGGCGGAGGGGGAAATCTGCTGACACTGAATGTGGTCGCATGCTGATAAGATTGTGTGTCACACTGCAGAAGCATCTATGTGGCCTATTAGTGATGTGTTTTAACACCACCTTGCTCAACACGCTGTCTGCAACACAATGCAGGCTTAATTTGTCTGTTACTGTTCCAAATAATTCATAGTCTGGTTATGATTCACGGATAGGTCAACATAGAAGAAAGGAAATTGGCTCCGTCATTTTGCAATGTTGCAGAGAGTAACGCAAATGGCAACAAGCCCAGATGAGTAATTAAAAGAGACAACGAACTGTATTCAGCAAGCATTTGAAAATATACAAACAGATTCTCGATGGTTGAGTAAGCTCAGCTCTGCCAAATTGCAAGCGTCAACCAGCATTCCGAAACTCATCGACAACGACAAAAATTGCATGTTATTAGGAACACATTGGCACACACACACACACAGAAAGGGAAGGTGAACAGATTAGATTTAATAGCTTTATATAGCGAGCAGGGAAGATACAGAATGGATTGCACAGGGAGAGGATGGAGGCAGTTTGTCAGCAAATTCAAGAGAGAATTAGCTAGCTATTTGGCTACAAAATCAATAATTGCAGCGGTGTGGGATCACTTTTACTTTAGTTGGGAATGCTTTTTTCACACAGATTCATCAACACCTAAACAGGCCACTCGGCCCAATTAATCAGTGTTGGTGTTTATACTCTATATGACCTCCCCTGCCCAATCCCCTCTCCCTGTCTCTTTCCTATACCCTTTTAAAAATCATGTACATTTCTACATCATAGGTACAGATAATAAGAAACACTAATTGACACTGTCTAGGTGGTTCTAAGAATAAAATAATCAACGTTAATCCCGATTCTTCCCCCACTACTGACTCCCAAAAAACATTGCCCACAGGATAGAACCCAAATCGTTTACTGGATGCTGAAAATGAGCCGTAGAAGCATAGGAACCTACTGATGACTTTAAAAATATGACACATTGAAACGAACAGTAATTCTTAGATGTCTTACTTGGAAGACGTGGGCTTTTCATCGTTAGTCTGTTTGTACTCCATTTTGTGATCTAAAACCTTTCAAAGGAAAGAAACACACTGTAAGTTTAGAGCAGCAATATCATTATAACTATAGGTTAGCACATTCAATGTAGCAATTAACTTGGTTTATATGTGACTGGAACGAATGTGGAACAACAATGTTTTATTCATAGTAACATAGTTTTAGGGAGACCATTGATCTATTTAATCTACCCATCCAACATCACATTAGATTCTTTCAATTCTTTCCAATAACTTTGAATCTAGTTTCTAGGAATGTGTCTAGGTCCCTTTTGAAACCCACTGATGTAACTATTCCAGGAGCGATTACAAAATATACTGCCTGGATTTAAAATTCCTTCTTCTGCTCAAGTCACCCTTCACTCACAAGATACATTTGTTCTCTTCTTTCACAACTTTTCTCTTCAGTCACAACCAATGCCACGTTTATTTTGGAAGACACTTCAGAACTGCTTTAATACAACTGGTTCTGAAGTACCAGCCTTTTCCCTTCTGGTTACTCTCAGAGACAAAATCTAAAGCAGTACTGGGGAACAAGCCACTTACATTTACCACTCAAATTTAAAAAAATCAATTTGTTTTCATAAAAGCCCATCCAAAGTGTCTCCTCTATAGTCTGTTTAATGTCCATCCCATTCATCCTTGACTGCCCAGAGCTTTGAACCTCTTCCGATGTGAAAGACGCTATGCAAATGTAATTTGTTGTCATTGTATTTACTGATGCATCATAACTAAAATGTCCTGTATAGAAACCTTTACATTCTACATACATATTTGTGAGCAGGCATTATACAGTGGGAATTAGAGCAGGCATTATACAGTGGGAATTCCCACTGCTGACGATTGCCAGTCTACCCTATCTGCTTCGATCTCCAAAGAAAACATGAAGCAGAGTTGTGATGCTAGAAGGAGAAAAAAAATTAGTTGTGTGCCTGTGCACAAGATTACCAGATTTGCAATCTACTCAAGTAGCACTTGGTAATGTTGTCTCAGTGTTCCGGTGTAGGAAGACTACAGAGACAGATACAGGCAAAGAGTGAAGCCAAAGCAGAGAGAGATAGGAAGTTGGTGAGCATCACAAAAGTTAAGGATACATCAGTAAGAGGGAGAAAAGTCAGAGAAATAGAGAAAGCCACGGAAAAATGGGTTGGGCACAGTATGGTATTACAATAGAACCCCATTATATCACAAGTTCACTTACAGCACAAAAGGAAAATGGATATCATTCACTGCGCATGTGCACAGCTGGTTGACTCCACACTAAAAATGCTGTGCTCTGTACAGTTTATATATAAATTTAAATACACACTTTACACTATATTCTGTGAAGCGCTTTGAGACGTCTCAACGACGTGATAAGGCGATATATCAAATGTAAGGATTATTATTAATGCAGAAATGCTGAACAGCTGACAAAGGCCATTAGAAGACAGTTTGAGATTTCATAGACCCAAACAACCATCGTACACTGTCCAGAGCCTTGGGACGTCCTCCTGACCTGAAAGGCGCAATACAAATGTAATCTTGTTGTTGGTGGTGTATATTCTGTGAAGCGCTCTGAGACGTCTAGAAGACGTGAAAAGCGCTATATCAAATGCAAGGAGTATTATTATTATAAAGAAGTAATTCTTTGATCACTCAAAACTCCTATATAAATACATTAAACTCCTGATAATTCAACCCTGTCTTAACTTGTCACTGCGACTTAAGACATCATGCTATCAATTCCCTGGCAGCATTTTTTTATATACTGAATTTATACATGTGCCTAATTCTCCACTCCAGATAACTTGTCACTGAGCCCTTTTCCCTTGGCGTGACGTGTTAACAGACGTTTAAAGTAATTTCTCCCTAATTGTTTTCTATTGAAAATGACTGGAAAGTTTTTTTGGGGCACGTATTGAAAAGCTTAATGTTATAAATTCAAGTTGAAGTTTGATATAAAAGGAGTATATAACTTCTGGACCACATAACTACGAGTACATAGGTTCAAAATATATAGGACTATTCTGCAATAACAAGTTACTGATGGTGCATTTTTCGCTTTCGTTTAAATCTTGTAGTTAAAGAATGGGCTCAGATTATTATAATAATTATCATTGCATTTAATATAGTATCTTATCAAGTCATTGAGATGTCTCAGAGCGTGTCACAGGATATACTATAAAGTGGATTGACTGTGTATTTTGTGGGTGAAATGCAGCAGCCAATGTCCCACAAACAGCCACACACAGGGGATCTTTAAAGTCCACCCAAACTGATTTAACATAGCTTCCAAAGGATGGCATCCCCGACAATGCAACACATGCCCAGTACTGCTTTGGAGTCATTTGCACACTGCACTTTTCACCCACAAAATACACAGTCAATTCTGTTTCCAGTATATTCGGTGAAGCGCTTTGAGAAGTCTGGAAGACCTGATAGGGCTCTATATCATATCAAATGATATGGCATATCGGAGTCCTGTAGCGGAGTCCTGTAGCTCAGTGGTTAGAGCACTCGCTTTGCAAGTGAGAGACCTGAGTTCAATTCCAGGCAGGTCAGGGCGAAACCTTGGGCAAGTTTCCTTACTCCACACAGAGCCTAATAATAATCCCTCCAAAAAACCAAAAACAATAATTAAATTGGTCATTTTCAATCTACGACTGTTTGTGGGACATTGCTGTGCGCAATTGGCTGCCGCGTTCGCCCACAAATATACAGTCAATTCACTTTACAGTGTGTTCTGTGAAGCGCTTTGGGACGTCCTCCCGACGTGAAAAGCGCTATACCAAATGCAAGGATTATTATTATTATTATTATTATAAATGCAAGGATTATTATCTATATCTTAGACTTGGAGCCCGAGTCCACAATCTTCTGCTAGAGGCGAGATCGCTACCGCTGCTCTAGGCTGACATTACTTGCAGTCGGGTGTCTGATCTTGGTAAATTGCTATTCCCTACCCACAGAAACCACATTCCCTCCGCCGCCTTGCAATATGCCAAAACTGAACAGCAAAAAAAAAAGAACCACCACACTTTGCCCATCGATCCCTTCCTTCCTGATAACAGCAAGCCCCATCTGTGTGGAGCCAGCCAGCTGTGTTGAGTATCTGTGAAGCAGGTCAGGGTTAGCACACTGATCTCTCCATTCACAGCTCTCACACTCTCTCTCACACTCACCTGGTGCTCACAGCCCAGCCCAGCTCCTCACACAAACAGCTGTCTGTCTGCAGCCCCAACACCACAGGGAGAGGACTTTCTCAAACAGCAAGAACAAGGGCCTGGTTAAGAGAGAGAGAGGGAGGGAGGTGGTGGGTAGGAGTGTGGATGAATCAGCAGAGGGAAAAAAGAGAGAAAGGTGCACAAGGAGAGAGGGTGAAGGAGAGAGAGAAGACAGAGAGAGAGAGAGAAAGAGAGAGAGTGAAAAGTGCACAAGGAGAAGGAGTGGGAAGAGAGAGAGAGAGAGAGAGAGGGAAGGAGAGAAGGGGTGGGGGAGAGAGATAAAGAACGAAGAAAGATCACAAGAAAGTCCACAAGAAGAGAGAAAGGAAAGAGCAGAGAGCGTGGGAAAGCGTGGCCAGAGCTGCTCTCGCTGACCCTCGGGGTTTGACGTTCATGTGTTTAGACGACATTCAGGATCTGAAACCAGGAAGGCAGGAAAAGAAAAGAAGGAAGTGCACGTACAAGGTTCAGTTGTAATTTGTCACCAAAGCAAAGTCTTGCCAAGTGCACTCACTGGCTAGAAAAGGCTGCTGTTTTTTTTAAACCAATAAAACAACAAAGGACACAATTGGATCGACTTCACACAGCGCATTTGAACAGGTTGCAGGCTCTGCGGCTCTGTTTGATCATATTGTCATTCGCTATTGTTTGCCCAATGCTGATTGTAATAATATTAACAATAATAATAAATAATAATAATAATAATCCTCTCATTTAATTCTGCCTCTGCAACTTAATCCTGAAATCTCTCCCCTGCCCTTCCGCCTTCAAACCCACCGTAAAACCTATCGTTTCGACTGTGCTTTCTCATGCTCCCACCCTGTCAGTAGTGCGAAAGTTCTTTGAGACGTCCTCCCGACATGAAAGGTGCTATACAAATGCTTCTTTAATACCGAACAACATCCGTTCGCTACATTAAAGAAGGGCGACAAAACTAAACCTGTTCACTGCAGACCCATTAGCCTGACCTCAATAATATCAAAAAGTATGGAGTCAGTCACCAGAAAGAAAGTGGAAGATTACCCATGTAGAAATAATCTAATAATTGACAGGCAACATGGCAACAGAAATGATAGGTCTTGTCTGACAATTCTCATAGACGTTTTGCATCTTTCCCCTCCCCCACCCCCCTCGGCCCCGGGCCCCACACCCACTCGCCCCAGTTCAAGTGCCAAGCCAGTACTATTAAGTACCCTGGGACATCAATTTGTATTGTAAGTATCGCAAACGAACTGACATTGTTTGACTGATCCAGAGAATCCCCTCATCATAATTACACAGAAACCGCTGAGTGCAGGCAGCACTGACAATAATAATTATAATATAAGCATCCTTGCATTTGATATAGGACCTTATCATATCGTTGAGATGTCTCAAGGTGCAATGAACCTATCATTGTGGTTGCCCATTCCAATAAATATCACTAGCATCTCTGCTTGTCTTTCTGGGTGAAAGGACTCCTATGAATTCTGCGGACTCCTCAGCAAAATAGGCATTATCTATACTGGATGGTTACTCTCACAGATGCCCACTCTAGCCCTAAGGGACATTGAATGGAGCCCAGAGCTTGAATGTAAGGCAATTTTGGACTGTTACATCCTTCAGTACCAGGGGAAGAGTGATGCAGAACCCTGAGGACACCTTCAAACTTTGCACTGACATAAGGCACGTCTCTGTCTCAGCCTCTTGGGAGAGCTTCAGCCTCTGCTGACAGACTGAGGTCCAGATAGGAAAGTCAATGCACGTGTCGTCAGTCTCCTGCCAAAAGCTGCTCAAGGGCAGTGGCTTTCTATTCAGCCTTCACTGGCGAGATAATGGCTGCAGACATCTGAGGAGCAAGCTATATCCTAGCATTTGAGTCCCGTAACTTAATGGATAAAGCACTCACCTCGCAAACTAGAGGGCCTGGGTTTGATTCCTTAGGCAAGTTTCCTTACTCCACAAGCCGCTGTTTACCTAGCAGTGAGTAGGAACCCGGTTGTTAGTCGATTGGCTGATCACTTTCCCGGGAGTAATAATCTCTTAAAAATAAACATTTGGTCACTGTTTGTGGGACACTGCTGTGCCCAATTGGCTGCCATATTCTGTGCATTGAGACGTCTCGAAGATGTGATAGGCACTATATCAAATGCAAGGATTATTATTAGGTAAGCCTGAGTGACTTGTCGTGAAACCTAATGGCAGTTCCCACAGAAAACAACATGAGACCTCCCAGGAACATGAGGGAATGGCACTATAGCAGCTGTTACATACTGCTCGGCTACAACTTACTGCCTGTTCTGACCAGCAGATATCTGGTCTCATGTCCCAAATGCCTGAGACATGGGCAAAAGATTAGTTCTTTGGTAATAGTAGCCTGCCAACTGTTTAGAGTCCTAACATCCGCTACCCAGCATGTGTTCGATGAGTTCATAGCACCACCACAACAACAACAAAATTATATTCGTATAGCGCCTTTCACGTCGAGAGGACATCCCAAGGTGCTGGACAGTTAAGGTTTTGGACCACAGCTGGGGGTCAGGATTGGGAATGGTGAAGGGCAATGGGGGAAGCATGGAGATCGAAAGTACGGTCAAAGAGGAGGGTCTTGAGATGAGTCTTGAAGGAGGCAAGGGAGGGGACCTCGGGATGGAGTTCCAGAGGGTTGGGGCAGAGTGGCAGAAGGCCCGCCAGCCAATGATGGGGTGGGCAAAGCGGAGAATGTGAAGCAGGCAGAGCCCACTAAGCAGAGGGAGTGAGCAGGATGGTAGGGGTTTAGGAGGTCGCAGAGGTAGGGGGGAGCAAGACCATGGAGGGCTTTGAAGGTGAGAACTATGTGGAAATTGACCCCATGTCTGTGGTTGATGTCACTATGAGGGAGCATAAAGATATTGAAGAGGAGGGGACCAAGGACAGAGCCCTGAGGA